AGAGACGGCAAATAGGTCATTTCTTGCATGCCATGCCTTATGGACTGCAAAAGGCTGCTTGGAGTGTGCCCAAGAAAGTTTCTTAGGATGCGACCGAGCCCAGAGGAAAGAAAGATCAGTTCAAGAGCTCTGCCATAAACAAAGGAAGGGGAGTGCTAAGCAAGTGTTTGCCAAGTCTTCATAGGTGGAAACAGTGCCAGTGAGGTGAAGGGCTTCTAGGCTGAAGTTTCCACCTACAGAGTTTTGTGGCCTCAGCAAGTCACTTCGCTATATATTTGTGTGTGTGTACATATGGTGTATATCTACATTATATCTGTGTTCGTGCATATATATGCTTGTGTGTGTGTTTATAGATAGATAGGGAGGGAGAGAGAAAAAGAGAGAGAGAGTGTGTGAGAGGGAGATACTTGCCATTTGTTTTAAGGAATTGGGGGCTGGCAGGTCTGAAACCTGCAGGGTGGGCCTGCAGGCTCAAGACCCAGGGAAGAGTTGATATTGTAGCTTGAGTCTGAAGGCTGTCTGGAGCAGAATTCTTTCCTCTTCAGGGGACCTCAGTCTTTTTTTCTTAGGGCCTTTGACGGATTAGATGAGGCCCACCCACATAAGGAAGATAATCTGCTTTATTCAAAGTCTGCTGATTTAAATGTCAATCATATCTTAAAAATACCTTCACAGAACATATAGGCTGATGTTTGACCAAACAACTGGGCACCATGGTCCAGACAAGTTGACACATAAAATTAACCATCACAGAAATGATCTCAGAAAATACTTATAGAGAATTGAAGAAATGATACAGGAAAGGAAAGTAGCCAGTAAAGGGTGTGTTATCAAGTCAGTTACCACTGTGGGCAGCAAGAGCTTAATCCTCCTGGTGATCTCTACATATCAGAGTAGAGCATGTGCCTCTGAGTTGTCCTGCCCAAGGGGGAAGGAACTAGATCATACCTGCTGTAACTCCCATCAGTCATTTGTTCAGAGCTGCTTCTAGTATAGAGGCTAATTTCTCATCCTTCAGGGCTGCCATGTGGGCAGGGGGAGCAGACACTAGCAGTCAGACACAGCACATAGGCAACGAGACCCAGATACTGCAAGTTGGAAGTTGGGTCAATGTGTATAGAAGTGGTAAGGGCTCAGGGACATGGGTGGCGCACAGAAAATGTCTACAGAAGCGAAATACATTTTCAGTCTCCTTCATTGAGGGTTTGTAACAGTAAAATGAGCAAGTAGATATGGAAGTACTGGAATTTTAGTCTTTATAAATGAGATATAATTATTTAATTAAAAAGTTAGAACTTATAAATTATCCTTAATACCCTATTTCTTGAATATTCCATTAAATCAAGGTTGTACTGATGGATGCCATGTCAGGCTAATTCCTGTTCATCTTAGTAAGAATGTTACTTTTTCCAGGAGGCCTCCTCTCTCCCCTCTGGCTTGGTCAGGTCCCATGCTGTATACTCTCAAAGCACTGTGTTCTTTTCCTTCAGAACATTTCCCAGCTCCCTGAAGGAAGGAATCATATCATATCTTTCTTATTTACTATTGATACCCCCAAACCTAGCAGAGTACCTGAAACATAGTAGGTGCTCATAAATATTTGACCAAAAAAATTAAGGAGATGTGGCAAAAAACCTTTATTATAATCCATCACAAACTGATGAATGCTACAAAACCAACACATACAACTCAAACCAGGATCAGAAAGTATCTTTGGGGAACCAACCTTAATGAAGAGACAATAATGACTTTTATCAATGTGGCAGTTGTTGATAAATGGGTGCTGTTAAAGTACTTGAGGTAAATTACTTCCTTAAGTAGATTGACCCCTGAAAGTATGTTTACACTACTTATTTCCTTGGAAAACTCTTTCATCAAAGATAGGCTGTATTGGTCAGTATGGGCTGGGTTATGCTGTGGTAACAAACAACTCCACACATCTTAGTGGTATAACACAACAAAGTTCAAGCTTCTACCCAAAACTGACATGGTCATATATCTGATAAAATGTTAATATCTAAAATATAGAAACAACTCATTCAGCTCCATAGCATTTTATACTATGGAGTGTAAAATGGATGTTGCATAAAATTTGCATGTTGGTGGGCATGCAAATTGGTATAGCCATTACGGAAAGCAGTATGGAGGTTTCTCAAGAAAGTAAAAATGTAACTACCATATGAGTCAGCAATCCTGCAACTGAGCATATATCTAAAGGAAGTGAAATCACTATCTCAAAGAGAAATCCACACTCCCATGTTCATTGTAGCATTATTCGTAATAGCGAAGATATGGAAGCAACCTAAATGTTCGCTGATGGATTAAAAAAATGTGGTGTATATATATATATATATATATCCTGCCACTTGCAGCAACATGGATAAGCCTGAAGACATTATACTAAGTGAAATAAACCAGACACAGAAAGAAAAATATTACATGATCTCACTGATATGTGGAATTAAAAAAAAAAAACTCACTTGTAGTAAGAGAGAGTAGAATGATGGTTTCCAGAGGCTAGGGCATGGGGGAAAAGGGAATATTTAAAAAATTTTAAAAAGAAAGTAGGATGGCATTTTCCAGGAGCTGAGGGGTGGGGGGTCATGGGGAATTAGTGTCTAATGGAAACAGAGTATTCATTTTACAAGATGAAAAAAGTTTTGGAAATAGATGGTGGTGAAGACTGCACAACGATATGAATGTACTTAATATCACTGACCTGCACACTAACAAATGGTTAGGATAGTAAGTTTGATGTTATGTGTATTTTGGCACAATAAAAAAGTTAGGAAAATAAATAAATATAAAGATTTCCCAGGGAAAGGTGTTCATTTTAAAATTGAAAGAAAAAGGAAGATATTATACTCCTTTTGTTATGGAAATGGAACCAAGGATGGGAAAAATGAGTTGAACAATGGTATATGTATCTGTATTTGGGAACTTGGTTCCTATGAGGAGAACAGATGCTGCATTAGGTTGCCATTGTCCATACTATTAACGTGTTGGGAAACAAAAACAAATTAAATACTCTTTTTTTTAAGTTAAGGCCCAAAGAAATTAAGGTCCAAAATTGAAATCTCTTCTCCTTGTAACTGACATCCAAAGCTTAGAATTCTTAACTCCAAAGAAATAAAGCTCCAAATGTATTCTGATTTCTTATTCTACTCAGTCTCAGCCACAGGTGCCCTTGAGTCTGGGTAGAGCGGGGCTTTCTTCAGCAGCTACCGCCTGGGCTGCCTTCCCTGGCTGGGTACTGTTCCTCGGAAGTTGAATTAGTGTCTCTTGCGTCCTGCTTTGAAGCTCCCCTGACTGTGGCCTTGCAGGTCTTTTACTTTCCTACAGCTTAGACTCCACTGAGGTGTTTGCTTTTTTTTTTTCAAAGATATCAGGGGAAACAGAGTTGTAGGCTCCTCATTAGCAAGGCACAGGCCTCTTTTCTCCTGTGAACTTTTTGGGGTGTGAATTCCACTTTTATCCCATTTTGTCACAGTTTGTTTTTTTCATATACATGAGTTGCCTCTGTCCTTGCATATTTTTTTAAATTAGTATTATTTTAATTCATTTAGTTATCATTCATCTACAATTACATGAAGAACATTATGTTTACTAGACTCCCCCCCACGCATACATCTTTAATCTGCCACGGTGTGGTAGGGAGTTTGGTTTTTAACCCAAGGGCAATGGATCCATTGAGACGTTTTAAGATGGAGGAGGATATGATCAGTTACAAATTTTAAATAGATCCCTCTGACTGCAGAGCAGAGCATAAACTGAAAGGGGAGTTGAGATGGGTGGAAGAGAGACCAGTTGGGAGAGTTTTGAAGAGTCCAGGCTAGAACTGACGGCAGGGTAGTGGTGCTGGTGATAGACTGAAGTGGAGGAGTGGCTCTAAAGTTGTTCAGAGGTAAAATCAGCAGCATTGACTTGACATCGAGGATAAGAGAAAGTTCTTTCTTCATGCCATGCCCATGTAATGCTTTTCCTTTTATTCATTCATTCATTCTTTCTTTCTTTAATTCATCCATTCATTGAAAAACATTTACTGAATGCTGACTGCGTCAGCACTGTCTTTCAGGAACTGCTCTGTACAGCGTGAGACACCAAGAGCTATCTGCCCTCAGGGAATTCAGCCCAGTGCTGGAATTTGGTCACAGTTTTCAAGCAACTATATCATAATAACAACTGTGTTGATCTCTCTCTGCTATGCCAGACACTTCACATATTCAGCAGTCCTTTGGCCTCCGAATATGGGTTTATTATATGGGGTTCAGTGCTTACTCCACATCATGCAGCCATTTGTAACTCTGGCAGAGGCTCAGGGAAGTTGGTGTATGGGCAGAGGTCTGGCCCAGCACCCAGCACCTGCAGCTCATGTGGTTTTGCTCTTCTCTACCCGTCACTGCCTACAGGAGAGCTCTACTTAAGGATCCCAAAGTGCCCCTGAAATTTCCCAGTGACACTTCTTTTTGTAGGGGCCCCATGTGTTGGAGTCCCTCACTGAACCCTGATTCTCTGGTTCTAAGTATTCTGGGGGTCCCATATCCATCATCACCTCCAACTTTCCACTCTTCCTGAGTGAGAGCCCAAGGCCCTGAATAGATGCAGGGTGTGACTATGACTCACTGGGTAGGAGGAGACGACCTCTTCTCCTTTGTTATCACAAGAGCCCCCTGTAGATACTTCCCAGCTTGAAAACAAGAATAAGGAAGGTTCATTCCCATCTGCTTCTTGTGGATTTGAGGCCATCGTTCTGGGACTCCCAGCAACAACAGCCTCTCCCTTGGATCCGGCTGCCAAGAGTTCTGGTCATCCTGGTTTCTCTCTTCCTCCCCCCAGCACTACCTTCTCCGCTCTTCTTTCGATTCCCTGGCACTTTGATGTTTAGAAAGTAAGTCTTAGTAATGAGGTTGGGTAACAACTAGCTTGAGGTGGAACCAACCCAGTGACCTCAAAAGGAAATGATTTTTTTCTGTCTCTTTTCTTGCAGGTTTTCAAAGGAACTGGTACTGTACTTTTCATTTCACACATCACAAATTTACATCTTCAAAAGCTGGCAAACGTCAACACCTCGGGAAAACAGAGTGTGAAATATATGGACATCTGCTCACCTGGAACAGCCGTAATCCCAGAGAAAATTGTAGTCTGCTGGGCTGGGCCGTCATTGGGCTTTAGTTCCCATGACCTGACTTAGGGCTATCTTCAAGCTTCTTCGCTTCATATGGCATAAAAACCCGGCCAGCACATTCCCCAAAGTAGGCTGCTAGTGAAACCGGAAACTTGTTTCAACAGAAAGTCAACAATGAAGTCGTTGTGTTCCACTGGAGGGAGACGGGCTTGGAGGAGCTCAGCTTTCCGCTGTGGTGTAACACGTCCAGTGGGCCTTCCTCTCCAGCGCAGGCCCGCTGAGCCGGGCGTCAGCATTCCGCAGGTATTTCCTGAGGGCCCCTCGCAGTTCCCTCTCAACGGGGACATTCATGGCCAGGTCATTTATCCTGGCTGCCACCTTGGGCTGATGAAAATGTTACTTTGACTTATGGCTTGAGCACTTCCTTAGAAAGTTGGGGACCCCAAGTGAGTTCCACTCCTAACTTTCTTCATGGCAAGGTTTTCATTGTTTATAGTCTGTGAATTTTGGATGGCAGCCAACGCTGGAGCCAAGAGGAAGGCTTTCTCAGTGAGATTTTGCCTGCATCTACCACCATGATAAATAGGTGATGCTATCATCAGTATATTTGACTCTATATAAATGCTTTCTTTGTCTGAGAGGGCATCTGTGTAGTTTTCAAGTTCATACATTGTTCTCTGCTGCTAATTGGCAATCATGTTTTCATTTGATTATTATGAGATTAATGCAACCTCTTTTTGAGCTTAAATCTGTCACATGGTAAAGAAAACCCAGACATTTTTGGATTGAGAAAGACTAGCCTTCCATCAGACCTCTCTTCTCATTCCTGGAAGATGAGCCAATTAGACTAAGACTTAGTACAGAAAAGACAAACTTATCTGTGGAGTGACGAATTGGTAGCAAATAATAGAAGCATTATTTTACCTTGTGGACAACTGTCCTTTTGGATTATAACAGAGAAGTGGTAAAACCTTTTCTGACAAGCTTTAGGAATAATAGAAATGGTTGTGCCTGGTATGGTGGAGGCATTGTGTTGTTGCAATTTAGGGGGCTGCAATGATGCTGACTAGGCACCTCGGGGCCATCTAGGGGTGACAGTGGTGGGCAGAGTTTCCCAAGAGCAGCTTCTTGGTTGGGTCACCACATTCTAGGGAACTGCTTTTAAAAAAAGCCAACTATTGCTGGTTTATTATAAAGGATACAACTCAGGAACAGTCAAATGCAAGAGATGCCTAGGTTAAGTTATTGGAGGGGTTGGTTTGCCAGCATGGAGCATCCTTGGCAAAGTTATTGGAGGGGTTTGCCAGCATGGAGCATCCCTCTCCAGGCAAGCCACCTCCCAGCACCAGCACGTGGGCACCAATCAGGAAGCTAGAGAAGTGGTTTTTAACATTTTTTGAGTCACGGACCACTTTGGGCATCTGAAAGTACCTATGATTGACTTGACACTCCCACATGCTCATAACGCACATAAATATGCATGTGTACGTAGGACTTCATGGAGCTCATTGAACTACAAATCTGCTGTGAAAGACCACGGGCCCCAGGTTAAGTACTCAGTCCTGCAGTCTGGTTCTCAGTTGGGAGCTGTGTCAGGGTGCCAGAAATGAGGACAGACTCCTGCTAACTGAAATAGCAGGCAGCGGCAGGTAAAGCAAGTCAAAGAATTCCTAACAGGGCTTCCTTCTTTCCAGCAGCCAAAATGCTTTTGTGTCTCCTCAGTATCCAGAGACCTGGGAAGCAGAATCCTTCAGTTAAATATTGCTTGGAGAGGTGGGCGGCCTGGGGGTTGGCTTTTGCACTCCAGCACGGAAGGAGCTCAGGGATCTGTCCCTGTCACAGAGCAGAGTTCAGTGCCTTAGTTACCCCAGAGCCAGGTTTTCTCTCCCTCAGACAGTGCTGGATATTACATGACAACTTGTACTTCTGTTAACTTGGTTTCCCATGCCAGTCAGTCCCCTTGATCTTTCCTTAGACTGTACCTGTTCCCCGGAGCCCTGGAGCCACGTCTGTCTCCTCCAATTACAGGGTGCCCAACACCCAGTGCTCCAAGTCTTAGCTTAGAGCCCACAGGTATGCAGGGCCCGTGAGAGCAGGGGATGGGTCCAGTCCCTGGTTTTTACTGTCTGCAGCTGTCCTAGGAGTTCACAAGAAAACTGGGAGTTCCAGGAAATTTGATGTGGTTTGTGGCAGTCGTGTTTCCTTTGTGTCTACCCCAGTCCAGCACTATAGTGGCCCTTGGCACAGGAGAGGACAGTAGTGGTCAAGGCTGAAAAGTTCCCAGGTTTAACCCCCTATGAGGGCCTTGTGTAGTCAGGGAGGCTGTGATTCACCATTTCCCCCAAATCATTGATACAGAGACTCTATATGCATATTTTAATGTTGTGTATTTGTGCTGAAGACCGTATTTCCAGCCACTTTGCCCCAAACCTGTCAGAACAGTGTGCCTCCTTGGCTCCCTTATTTCAAGTTCCACAGTGGCCTGCAGAATGGAATAGCTGAGTACCAACTTCAGGGGTGGGGGTGGTCAATGGCCTCTTGAAACTTTGATATTCGGGGATTCTCTGATCTCCAAAAACATCCTCACTGATTCATGTAACCTAAGATGGTAGAAGTACACAGTCCTAAGGTGATCTGAAGACTCTTTTGGCCTTTTCGGAACCCTAACAGGGCACACTTGCTTTGGAATGCAAAGGCACCTGGGAGAATATGGATGGTGAGTAGTGATGCTGGGAAGGGAAGCCCCAGCCCAGGCTTTTAGTCACCAGTAGGTGAGTCGGACATCTGGAAAGAGGATCAGTATCCTAGAACACTTATTACCTCGATGTCAAAAGTTTGGCAGTTGAGCTGAGGCCTAATATTTCTAACAATAGGAGCAAAATGTTGCAAACTAATGGCTAGTCCTGGAGAGAAAGGAGTGTTGGTGGCACAGAGCACTCGTCCCTGGGGCTCTGCCTTGTGTTTTCGTTCTTTAGACTAGCCTTACACCTCATAAATCTGTCAGTCATTTCAAATAAAATTTCTGTTTGTGTTGCGCAAACCATTTCTAGCATTTTATATGAGCTGTCTGGCAGGCTGCTGAGACAATGAAGACTGTATTCCACATTGAAATAAGGAGAGAAAATGAGTTTCTACCTTAACTGATCATTTCTTTGCTACCTCTAATGCTGCACACCTATTAAAAAGCTTGTGACACACTGCCTCCAGTTTGGAGAATTTAAGTTGAATCTTCTCATTCGGGTTACCATCTGGTATGCTACTAACAGTCTCAGAGAGTAAGAGGCCATCTGTTAATACTTTTTCCGGGAAGCTTTTTATAGAGTAGTGAAGTGGTAACTCTCAAAAACACATTGTAATGACTTACAAGATCTTGGGTATATGGACGAGTTGAGGCTGATATTTTATTTCTACTAACAGTACTGTCTGTCTTTGAGGAGAGACAGAGGAATCAATAAATATGGCATATTTGCATGCAAAAAATGCTTATCTCTGATATGTGGAAAGCCATAGGTCAACAAATTATTGGTTTTACAATATTTCAAAAGGAATATTATAACATATACTGAGAAGTAATAGTAATGATGATGTTGATAGTCACTGAACACTTGTCATCTTTCAGCCACTGTGCCCAGTGCTTTACATTTATCATCTTATTTTCTCCTTAAAATAACTTTGAGAAATAGTTGCTGTTACTGTGCAATTTTCAGATGAAAATTGCTCAGAGAGGTTAATGACTGGCCCATGGCCCAGGGCTAGTAGTAGCCAGGACTTGAACACAGTTTTCTTTTCAGACTCCAAAGACTATGCTATTAATGATGACCTTTCTTACTGTCCTGCAGAAGTTAGAACGGTGTCCTTTTTTGTAACCAGCTGGATACCAGTAACTAAACTTTCTGTTACTAGAAAGAGAGGCTTAGATAAATTTGACCCAGGACAGCTGAAGGTTTGCATTAGTAACGATGTGTGGTATGGGTCAGCATGGGTTAGGTTTTGCTGTAGTTAGAAATACCCTCCCAAGTCTCAGTGGTTTAGCAGAAAAACATATGTACTGCCCAGGCTCCACACCCCCCAGCTCACAGGGACTGTCATGATCACTCACGGCCAGAGCCCCACTCCTGACCGAGGCGTCTGTGATCACAATTGTACCAGCCCCTGCTCATACCCTTGCACGTTTCATTGGCTAAAGCAAGGGTTTCGTCAACTCAAATGGAAGATACGAGTTAAATTCTCCGAAAGTGTTGAGGAATTTCAGTTCTACAACATATATGCCCAGGAAGAGGAGAATCAGAATATTTGTAACTAGTTCTGGTTACCACTGAAGCAATTTCACAGCAGTTGATTAAAAGCTTCCTGTTTCTGGCCCCTCACTCACTGAGCATTTCTCAATTTGACATTACAATAGATGTTCCTAAGACATATCTTTGCATTGACTGGGCTATAAAATATTTCCATTCTTGTCCAGACATCACTAATTGTTCTTTAGGGATCATTCCTTGTCTGAACCAGCCTCCTTTCTATCCACTGCCTATCAGAGCTCTCTTTTGAATCTCCATCCTTTCAATGTTGGAGGGTCCTGCTATATACAAATCATGTCAGTATCTTTTTCACCCATTTGGAGTTTACTCCAAAGATTATTTCAAATCATACAATTGAATTTTTTTCTTCTTGTTAATATCACAGTATTTCAATTTCAACTCTGTTTTAAAATTTTTGCTCTTAGTAGTTTCCCAGTATATTCAAAGTGGAATTTCTTTTTGCATTTGAGGTAAGCCAATGGTGGATGCATTTATGTCATGACGAAATTTAAAAGACAACTTGCAGAGCGGTATGGACAACTGTTCTCAGGTGTGTCCCTTTGTTCTCATCAGGCCACAGGGGAGAGGCACACACAGGGACCCTTTTTAGACAGCTTGCCCTTGTTAGAAAGGATGACTTTTGGAGGAGTGGCAAACTAAGCACAAATGTTTAACATATCTGTTTTATTTTCTTCTTATGTTTTTCTTTTATATTTATTGTTTTTTTTAAAAAAACACTTTATTGAGATCTGAGTGACATACAGAAATCTCTACATATTTAATGTAAATAACTTGATGAGGTTAAAGACAAGTACACACCTGCGAAACCATCACTACCATCTATGCCACAAAAATAACCATTATCTCCAAAAGTTTTCTACCCCTCTTTTTTTACATTAAATTTTTAAATTAAGGTATCATTGATATATACTCTTATGAAGGTTTCATGTGAAAAACAATGTGGTTACTACAATCACCCATATTATCAAGTCCCCCCCATACCCCATT